GCACCTTAGTCTTCAGTTGAATTCAGACCGAAGAAATGCTGAAATATACCAGAATCAAGTAGATAAAAGCAGGGGTTATGAACCAAAGCAGTTTATGTATCCCTTTTTCCTGTCACTGATAGAGAGATTTGGCAATATCTGGAGACATTTATGATTTTTATGACTGGGTGGGGGTAGTGTGACTCTCATCTAGTGGGCAGAAGTCACTGATTCTGTTATACATGATACAATGCACAGGGTAGCTTCCCATGACAAAGAATAGTCCAGCACAGATTATCAGTGCTGCTGAGGATTAGAAAGCCTGAAATAGGGCAATAAGAAAGAGTTTTATAATATTGAAAATTTGCTGGAAAAGATGTCTTCAAATTGGTCCTTAAGTCCTTGGATATCTACTCATATAGGGCCATGGAGAGCTCTCAGTGTTGCATGAGACCTCAGACCTTTAATGCTGGAACATCTAGAACCTATTTCTTATACTGCAGAACATGAGATGTCTTTACCACAAATGTTAGTCTGAGTAGTACGTCTTCATTAAAAGGGGAGAAGACTGATGGAATTTATAGGGTGAGTGACTTCTAGTATTAACACTAGGAAAGCTCCAGATGAACCAAGATGTTTTGGTTGCCCCAAGGTTCTCAGTTGTACTGCATATAGAGTAGCCAGATTTAAGAAAAAGAAAACCAAGATGCTGAATTAAATTTAAATTGTGCAGTTGTTTTTAGTATGATTTGTCCCATGCAATATCTAGGATGTTCTTATAGCAAATAATTCATTATCTTAGATTCAAATTTAACCGGGGTCCTGTATTGTATCTGACAACCCTACCTGTGTATCGATTTGAGAAACCCCAGCATTCTCTCTATTAAGAACACTTCTCTCATGAATGTCATCAGAATGTAATGACTCCTTAAGATTCCCATCCATATCCTTCACAGGCAATAGAGGGAGGGAATGAGTGTTCTAAGTGACATACAAGGAGAGGAGAGAGGGGCTTAGGAAAAGCAAATTTTTTGGCAATATGTATGTTTGTCTGTTTTTTTATCATACTTATTCCTAAATGATGACAATGTTTTAAAAATTCCATTCTCTTTATTTCATCTTGGCATGAATATTCAGAATATCTGTGAAGTCCTCAACGCTTTCACTAAACTAGTTTCATAGTTTAATAATATAAAGATTATCTTAAAAGTGATAAAAAGTTTTAGCAAAGTAAAGTATGAAAATGTGATCTTCATGAAGTAAAATGTTAAGATCTTTGTCTATTATGCAGATCAGAGCCAGGCATAAAAAGATGGATACAACAGTGGGAGTCATGGAAACTGGGTTTGTTGATAACCCAATATCTATTTCTCATT